ACTCCCATATAAAAGACTTGGTACTGAAAAATGAATTCTGGGGTTCTAAAATGAACAACTTCATCTTCCTCCCTCTCATCCAGCTGATGGACAGTCTACACCAGGGCTAGAGCCATCGTTGTCTTTACAGCCACAGAGCCCCAGCCTTTGCTATATGTTTCTTTCGAAAATCTGATGTGATCGTTGACTGAAAAAGAATCTGGAGCCTTGGAAAGCTGTGAGTCTGAGAGAACCTTGAAAGCTTTTCATAGGCAACCCACAATGGAAGCCCACTGAAGAGCTGCAGAAGGTCTGAAGGGCAATCAAACGACAGATTGTCACCCCTTTCCTTCTAGGAGCATGCTCTGAATCTGCTGCACACATTTCTGCCCAAGCTGGATGATGGAAGCCAGGCTTCTGCTCCATTTAGAGTTTCCCTACATTTTTGGACTCCAGATGAAGAATTTTACTTTGTTTTAAGGGTGGCCTGGCTATGTTTACATAGTTCTGAAAGAAGTTTTCATGTTGTAAGTTGAACTTTACATATTTTAAAAATAGTCTCAGGGCTGTCTCACTTGGGAGAGCAAGATGCTAGTAATACACCAAGGTCAAGGGTTCGCATCCCTGTACTGGCTAGCCACTAAAAAAAAAAAACTGCAATCTTATTCTTAAGTGCATTTTTTTGGTGCAACCATCACTACTATTTCCAATATTTTTGTTTTGTTTTGTTTTTTTGTTTTGCAAATTCCAATTTTTATTTGTAAGAATTTACTCACATCACTGAGTAATTATTCTATAACATCACTAATTTTTAAAATTTATTTGATTAGGTAGTAAATGACAGGATGAAAATTCAAAAAATATAAAAGATTATAAAGTGAGCCTCCTACTTCCGGCTTCCAGTCTCCCTCCTTCATTTCTGATGTTTCTTTTCTTATCCTTTTTTTTTTTTTTGATTGAATCATAATTGATTATACATATTTTGGGGGTTCAATGTTGACATATGTTGATGAAATCAATATTACTAGCATATATATTGTTACAAGTTGTACTGATCATTTATGCCCCTTGTCCAATCTCTTCCTATTCCCCTCACCCTCCCCTGTCCCTCCACTGATAGCCTTAGATTTCTTCTCTCCCTCTGAAAGAGTAATGGTTACTCTGTTGATTTGTTGCCTAGATGATTTGTCCAATGCTGAGAGGTGTGTTCAGGTCTCCCAATATTATCATAGAGCGGATGCTTCTTCTGTCACTCTGGGATGGGCTTTGTGGAGAGAGACATCCTCTTCTTTTCTTTGGTCTCTGCTGGTGACTCTTCTTGTGTCAGTGCACTCCAGTGGCTGGCAGACCATGTGCATGCTGGTTGTGATGTCTAGCCACTTTCATGGCAGCTGTGGTTACTGTGGTGGCTGTGTTGGGCCACCCACATGGAAGTGATGTTTTTGGCATGCTCCTTGGCACTGGGGGTGTGCCTGGTTGTGGGTGGGGGCTCCAGTGTTCAGTTCCATGCCTTGGATCCCCTGGTGGTCCCCGAGACACTGGTGGTGTGCCTGGGCCAGAACTAATTTTTTGTTCTCTGCTTACTTCTAAAATGGGGGAAATTCCTGTGGGAACCAGTACTTGAGCTGTGTTGTTGAACTAAATTGCTGCTTTGCTGCTGTTTCCCTAGGGAAGGCTTTTTGTGCAGCTCAGGTTTAATGGTTGGCCTTATAGGTACTTCCGGCTCTCCAGAGACCTGGTGCACCTGGGTTGTATAGAAACTCTGTTCTGGACCTGAGTCTTTTCATCAAACTGCACCCCATGCAATTCTGCATTCCCAACCATTCTCCTCTGAGTGATCCTGTGTTGACTTGGGGGGGTGGATCAGCTGTCCTTGCTGTGTCCCTGTGTTCTCCCGGTGGGCCTGTCTCCCCCACTGCACATGCTGCAAACACTTCTCATGGGACGGGCTCTGTGCCAGTCCCTTGCGATGACTCACCAGCTCTGAATGGCTCCAGTTTTTCAGTTGTTCTGTCTCCTCGCTCGTGCTTGGGTCCACAGGAACCCTATTAGTGTGGTCTTGCTGTCCTGAGGGCCACCAAGGCCCCCTTCTCCCCTGCTGCCTTTAAGCAACTCCATCCAAAGGACACAGCTGTGGCTTTTGCTGGCTCCTGCTCCGTGTGCTCAGCAGCTCCAGCCTTAAAGTGGCCATGGCCCAAAACGCTCTGAGCAGTTTTTTCTTTCTTTCATTGAGGCTTCTCCCGCCTTCATGAACTCCATAGGTCTCTCCTCCTCTTTCCCTGAGCTCTAGCAGCCCCAGCTTGGCTGTTGTTGAATTTTTATAGTTGTAAATTGGTTGATTTGTGGGAGAGAGTGACACTGGGGACCATCTATTCCACCATCTTGACCAGAAACCCTGATGTTTCTTCTATTTCCAATATTTTTCATCATACCAAACAGAAACTCTATAACCATTAAGCAATAACTCCGTATTTGCCACTCCCCCCAGCTCCTGGTAACCTCCAATCTCTAATTCCTAGATTTGGAAAGGACCCACCTAGAAGGCTTCCTGCAAGAGGTGGGGTGCCTCAGGAGAATGAGTCTGGAGCTGGCCTGGAGCCTGGAGTGGAGCTGGGGCAGGTCACAAGTGGCTAAAGCCTCAGGAGAGGCGCTGCCCATGTCAAAGATGCCCAGAAGGGACTCTCTAAGGAGCTCACAAGGACAACCATGCAGGGAGGAGTCAGATGTAATATGGCCAGATCACACTGATGCCAGCCAAGTGAGATCTTTTCTGCCTCTTACCTCTATACCCTTCTTTCCTCTGACTCTGAAATGTAGGCTAGGAAGAGGGTCTGAAATATATGCTAGGAAGCCAGAGGGAAGGGGGAGAAAGTACAGGGAGGGACATGGGGAGAAGCCAATATCTCCCTTTCTCTCTGCAGGCCAGCTGGGAAGTAGCAGGGACACTGCAATCTGAAGTACATGTTAGAATATTGAACTAGATAATTTAATTATTAAAATGAGATGGTTCCTGTGACTAAAAGTGATCAATGGACTTTTAGATATCGTAAAATAATTAGAAAATTATAGGTAGATTTTACTCAGGGGGAAGGGAGAAGAAGCCTACACAGGGAACTTAAAGCGCCAGTGGGGGAAAGAATAAAGATGTTTCCTGCCACATCTGCTGGAGTCCTGCTCTTTCAAAGTAATGGTTTCACATATTTATTTATTGTCTACCTGAATGTGAACTCTGTGTGATTAGGCTCTTCAGATTTTGTCCTGTTTCATTTATTGCCACACTCCTCGTGCTTAAAACAGGGTCTGGCACATAGTAGGTCGTGGTAAATGTTTGTAAAATCAATGTTGAATCAATAAAACAAGTGTGAAGTCACATGAATTTACAACTTTTCTTATGATGTCTCTTCATCAAAAATCATCCTAAAAATATGAAAATCTTTCCAAAACTTCTTATTTTCTCATTTTTGGGGGGTCCCTGACTTACCAGTGCCTGAGACTATGTCTAGCTGTGTATGCGGTGTCTCTTTGCAAGGCAATTAACATCTGGATGAAATGTAAAAAAATGGACTCAGTCATCTACAGGTTTTAACAAGACTAGAATTTCACAGAGCATTTTTCCTGGGCTCTGTTTCCATAGAATGTTAAGAGGGGTTGTATTAATTAAAATGTTTTCATGGTTAAATCAGCTTGGGGAAAACAGAGTGAAACAAAGTTAAATAGATTTCCTTACTGCAGGACTTGTCAGAGCCTTTAACATGCTAATATGCCCTGTAAGCCTCTATGAGTGGCTGTAGTGTATATGCAACATTTTCCAAGTTTGTTGACTATAGGATCCTTTTTTTTTTTTTTCCCACTGAGCATTTCATGGGTTCACTATCCCAAGAAGGGTACTACAGGAAGCCATGGTTCACATTATATATAGGCACATTTACAAAGAACTTTCTTTTTTCATCCAGGTGTCTGTCATTTTGTGGAGATGGTCTCTGTGGGAAACTAACAGCCAACTGTCATTTTCTAGAGGTTGCGGGGGGGGGAGTTGGGAGGGAGGTGTGGTGGCTTTTTTGCACGATCTCTGTCATCCGCCCGATGATTCTATGAGGCGGGTGGTATTTGTATCCCCAGTGTTACAGAAGAGAAGACAAATTCTTAAAGAGATGAATTGACTGTCTCAAGCCCTTCATGGAACAGGATGGGATTACCCTGCTTTGCTCCGGCGTGCTGGGGGGAGAGAAGGGAGAGATTCTTTCATCTGAGACAAACGGAGGTCACTGATGGTGCAGATTTTCACATGCAACAGAACATTAATTATGAAAAACAGCCCAGTGCAGCAAAAGGAGCAGCAAATGGGAGCCTCAGAAAACTTGACTTGGGAGCAGCAAATGGGAGCCTGGCCTCTGCCAGCATTTAGCCGAATGACATAGAACTTGACTTCCCTGGGCCTCCGTTTCATCGTCCATAAAAAGAGGGGTAGGACAAAGTCCCTTCCAACACCGTCACTGGGTGATTGAGAAATGAAAGAAAAGTCACCTGCACGGCCTTTCCGTTGATGTCTGTCCCCATCGACCCCGCCGTGAAGACAGCATTGGGCACCGTGATTGTGCTTGTTTCAGACAGGTGCACATACGACTGGGGGATGTTCAGTTCTCGGCTAGCCACCTGCCAGAAGCAGAAGAAAAATAGTATGTATTTTGTTGACTTTAAGCCCCTCCCCCAAATTAAAAACCTTCATTCTTTTTAAAACTGACTGTAAAACCTGGCTATTCTACAGAGACAAATATCTGAGCTAGCATCTTGGGTTTTGCATGTAGATTGATGCACTTGAAGATATAAAATGGCACTGTAAAAGATATACTCCTTTTAGGAGACATGTGGCCAACCAAAGAACCTTTTTGTGCTTTCTTTTAAGTCTTCATAGAAGCCATGTGGCAGTTTGGTCATGCCGGGACATCTAGTTTAGCAGGATGCATTCAGGAAAGATTGAGGCCCTGGTCTTTCTGTTTACCTTCATCTTCTCCTTGTAGTTTACAGACAATTTATCAGATCATATTTCCTTCTTTTGCAGGCATAAGGGTTTTGTTGTAAAGAAGCAAGATATGTTCAAAGAAGGCCCTCTGGGTTTTTGTGATTTTCTAGTTCCACGTACACTGTTAAATAATATTATTTCCTTAAAGAAAGTATCTTCTATCTTTCATTGGGAGAGAAGCATTGTTTCCTGCATATTTTTGATTCAAATGTCATACTCAACAAATTCCTATTTCACATTAAAAAAGGGAAATTTTTCCTATTGCAATAATCTCTTACTCTTTTAACAGTATTAGAAACACTTCTTTGAATTATCATACATAATGGCCAGTCATGTGCAGTTCCTAAATAGATTGTAAATTCTAAAGAGCATAATTTTTCATCCTATTAAACACATTCATTTCTAAGTAAGGATTTGAATGAACACAGTATTGCTTTGAGTGGTTGCCATAAATCTTAAAAGTATTTCGTCCTTGAAAACTGTAGTCACATTTTTTAGAAGACCTATGGACTTGGTTCTTTTGTATGAAGGAGGAATAATAAAACATATTTGCTCAGTTTTAACTTCCACTTCCTTCACCCCCCTGCATTTTTGCATTCCTGAAATCAGGATGAGTCTTACAATTGACTGTGCATTTAGTACAATGGTATTTTTCCTGCTCAACAAGCAAAAAACTGTTCAGTTGACTGTAAGGTGCTATACTCTTCTACTGTAGAGAAGATGGACACTAATCTCACCTGAATCATTTTGGTGTTCAGGCCTTGTCCCAGTTCACAGCCACCATGAGTCACCAAGACAGAACCATCTAGGTAGATGTGGACCAATGCGGCCGCCTGGGGGGAAATGAAATAATTGTGATGCCAATTTGGAAACTGATGCAGCCAAATGTTGCCATGAGTTTAGCCAAGGTTGCTGGATGAACGGTTTTGTTTCATTGAGCCAATCTCTCATTTTTTATTCTGGAGAAGAAAGCTATTATTGGTGGCTACAGATAGCCCCTTGCAAGAACCCCAGACTTGAAAACCATTAATGCAGATGTGTAAGTGTGTTCATCTCTCCTCCCACCGGGCTTCTGCCTACTGCAGGCCCTGTGTGGAGGCCTTGGGAGCTGGCTCTCCGAAGCCCCAACCTGTACAACATTTTAATATTCTTCCCTCCCTGGATGTGAAATTAACATGGAGCCTGGATGAGTAAATTTCCAGGTTCAACCTCTCTTGGATACTAGAGGAGCTGGAAGAAACTTGAGATGTTTTAATGGTTTCCAAACTCTGATCTTTCAGAATCACGATGGGGAAGGGATATCGGCCCCATTCTGGAAATTCTAATTCAGTGGCAGTTTGGAGGTGGAGCCCAAATAGCCATTTTTTAAGCTCCCAGGTGATTTTGATGATTGGCCAGGTTTGGGATCCATTGATTTAGTCCAAATTCTTCACTTTGCACATGGGGGAACAAAAGCCTATAGAGGGAGAGACGTGGCCAAACCCAGGTACTAAGTTTGTGGTAAAGTCAGGACAGGACCAGCAACTCCTAACTTGATTTCAGGGTCCTCATGACCATGCCATGTGGCCTCTTCAGACTAACTGCTGTTGTCCATCTCTGGGGCTGGTTGTCCTCACTGAGCAAGCCACAGAATGTGCATGTGGTTCCAGGGACAAGGCCCCAGGAGGGGGGAGGATGGGCTGCGTAGGGTGGTTCTGCAAGTAGCTGGGATTTTCCTTTAGCATGATCACAATCATAGGCTCATGCATGTGGACCGGAATCCTGCATCTACCCTCTGGAGACCCTACCTCCATATAGATGCTTGTGCCCCTGCCACCAAGTATTCAAATATTATCTAACTCATCTCTTCCAGTCTCCTGGGTATGATGAGGCTATCTTCTCAAAATCATTAAGTTCTATACAGGAACTTTAAAGCTTTGTACCTTCACCTTTATGGCAATCTAACAAGAGTAATGGATGACCAGGTGTAAATGAGTATTGTCTGTGCTTTCAGAATGCACGTTAGATTTTACGTTGATGATTGTATGAACACCGAGTAGGATTATTTGAATTGATGGAGCGTATTAGAGACAAGAGGTGGGACAGTGAGTCATCATCACAGCACCCGCAGACATTTAGGAAAAAGGCTTCGACATGGCTTGTGCAGCCACTGCCAGAACCATCATCATTTTGTGAGTGAGGATTTAGTTTTAGAAGAGCGACATCATCCGCCACATTAAATTAATGTTATTATTTTGAATACTGCTGGCATTTATAGTATTATTTTTACTTAATTTG